CCCCAAAACCCCAAAACCCCAAAACCCCAAAACCCCTAGTCAGCCATCAAGAATTGACTACTCATAAAACCCATAATCTAAAAAATATAAACGAAAATAAGCTTGCTGAATAAGTGGGCATTACTAGTTGTGCTGGGTCAGGAAATTCCTCCTATTTTGATCCTTTACTCTGCAATATGTCAGGAGTCTTTTCATTTTATCTCCAAGTGCATTTAGTTCTTGATTCAGCCTATCGTTTGTCTTACATAATTCAGCTGACTTTTTGGTTAAAGAGTAAAAGTTCACCCAATGGTTTTGTCCAGGATCAACATTTACCATATTCACTTTGTTGAGATTAGTATAGGATGAATGAATTCAAATCATGCTACTGTTCTTCTCGATATTTTCTTTCTTCTGGCTTGGTCTCTTTAATGAAGAAAAGGCCTTTACACCTGCGGTTGGAGTTCTAGAATTACCTAGTTCATATCGATATCTCTCATTAAACCCATGTTTCACTAAATTGTTACAAAAGATATACTTTGTTGGTTTTCAATGGATGAGCTTTTTCTATTCTTCTTCACTCATTTCTCAGAATCCTTCAAAACTCCCACTAACTTATTAACCAAGTTCTTCGGAATCTTGCTCTTATCACATCTCTCATTACTTCCTGGGCCAACCATGTCCTGGATTTTGCAATCGGCTTTAAAAATCTACAGAAAATAAGCCTTCACCCAGCCCCATCCTTATTTTAAATAACTTTCAAGCACTTCTCCTCACATCAATAAAGTGCTTTCAGGACTAATTTTTAACTCTACAAAATAAATAATTTCAAGTTGGGTTAAGTTCCATAAAGTTTGTACTGGAACTCCCTCAAGGTTTATTCGATAAAGCCAGAGGGTTTTGAGGGACAGAGTTTTGCTAATATCTCTGAATTTAAGGAAAAATTGTTAGATGCAATAACTGCATAGTTTTTAGACTTAGAAATCTGTTTTTGCGAATAGAAATTGAGGGAACCGAATGTTTTGACCACCAAATAGATATTTGATAAAGCGGTTTATTATAAAAGAGTTTAGAAGTAAGATGTGCTTCTGAAGGAGCCAGAGTTTATTAAAGGCGTTTGCGTTCTGATATCAAGCATTATTATTTTATAAGGCTCTTAATGAAAGATATTAGGGTTCAAAAATAAGAAAAGACCACTAAATTCTTGATGTTCTTAAGAAGGATTTTGAATTGAATGAGCTAAGATTTGATACTAATCTTCCAAACTCTGAATACAATACAAATGAATCGGATCCTTACACCTTTCTTGGTTATAAATACGGCTGAGACTCTGCCTTGGTCAGAGCTCTATTCACACACTTGTATTTCTTCTTACCTAGATGGATTAAGGTGGAACCTACTAGAACTAGTATAGCTAGTCCTTAGCTTTGATTTTGATAAATTTGCCTGATTTATACTAGAATAAAGGTAAAATGCGATGTACTTATCACGAAAAAATCTGTCGATATGGTTCTTATTCCCTTCAAATTTCGTCATCTAAAATATATAAGACCTCTGAAATATATTTATGAATCTTATTAGTCAGAATATGAAGCAGAATAAGTAAAATAGATCTATGATTTACCTTAATGTTGTTAATCTTCTTAGTAGAAGATGGTCTATATTTTGAGTCAATTTAAGTAGTGACAATTATCATTCCCGAAGACCCTATTCTTACCTATTCGAAATAAGTCTGAGAGCTTTCTGGTTTAACTCTCTTTTGGATTTAGCACCTTCTAGCTTAGGTTTCTTGGCATTCTTTTGCCCCTTTGAGTCTATAATTGAGAAGTAAGCTTCTAAATTTTGAAATTTTGAAAGTAATGAGAAATTGCATATTTATATCAAATCAGACCATTATGAAGAATATTCATGAACCGTTCCATAAACTCTAAATTCTTTCCTTATATAACAGAAAGTGCTTGTTAAAGGTTTTAATGAAGGTAACTACACATTTTCAGTACGAGTAATAAGCATGAAAATAAATGATATCAAACTAAATTTTTGTAATCTTAAACCCCAGAATTCCCAATACTTCTGAAAAATTGTGTTAATGTTTAGAATACCTGTTCTGAAGAGAGGGAGCGGGCCTTTTATAGACTTATTTTGCCTTACAGCTAGTTATAGCAGTTGGTTTAAAGTCTTCGTTCAGGTTATACTCAAGGTTCCCGAGGTTTCAGCTGATTGGCTTCATTGCCATCTTTCTATAAAATGATTGTGGTTAAGTAATCAAGGATGAGTTTTGTTTAAAAATATATCTCTTAGAATTATGAAGTTGATTCAAATCTCTTCTGAAGGTTCTAGCACTTTTATTCAGATTTATTATTTAGTTTCTGAAAGTGAGCCAATCAATTAAACATAGATACTCCGTTTGTAACAAATCTTGGGACAAAAGAATAGCAGATCAGAGTCACCTCTCAATAAGTCCTAACCTCGATACTTCTTCTACTATGAAAATATTTTAATCCAGTTCATTACTTATGATCAAATTTAAATAAATTTCAATTTTTTGTTAAAAATTAGGGGTTTTGGGGTTTTGGGGTTTTGGGG